ACAAAGTAACAGTCGGGGACCGTCGGGAACCCAGGCCCACCTCTACCGGGATGGAGCCACCTGCCGCTTTAGCCCCCATCTCCGAACAGTATCATAAGTAATGTAACAGTATAAGTATATATCATATGCCCGTGATCACCTCCCGAAGTGGTCACGGCCCAGTAGTATAACATGGCAGATGGACAAGAGTGTAAGGCCACTGATGATAATCTAGCATCCTATACTAAGCATTTAGGATTGCAGGTAAGGTATCAACAGTTGTAGCAACAATGACAGGCTATGCATCAGAATAGGATTAACGGAAAGCAGTAACATGTTACACTACTCTAATGCAAGCAGTATAGAGGAGAGTAGGCGATATCTGGTGATCAAGGGGGGGCTTGCCTGGTTGCTCTGGCAAGAGAGAGGGGTCGTCAACACCGTAGTTGTACTGGGTAGCAGCGGCGTCGGTCTCGGTGTCTAGCGAGAGAAGAGGGGGGAAGAAACAATAAATATTAAGCAAACAGATGCATAGCGATGCATGACATGACAAGTAGCGGTGCTAGGGGTGCCCTAACGCGGTCTGAGGTGGTACCGGTGAAGGGGGGAAACATCCGGGAAAATATCCCCGGTGTTTCGCATTTTCGGACAGATGAATCAGAGGGGGAAAGTTGCGTGATTGCTATGCTAGGGATGCGTGGCGGACGATCGGGCTGCGTATCCGGGCTCGTCTCGTCGTTCTGAGAAACTTTCATGTACAAAGTTTTTCCATCCGAGCTACGGTTGATTTTGTATATTAATTTTAAAAGATTTAAATCATTTTTAGGATTTATTTAATTAATTAAAACAACATTATCCAGAATAGTGCTTGATGACGTCAGCATGACGTCAGCGGTTGACCTAGTCAACCTGACAGGTGGGTCCCACTGGTCATAGACTGTTTAGTGAATTAACAGTAGTTAATTAGGTTAATTAGTCATTAGGTTAATTAATCATAATTAGTTAATCTAATCAGAACTAATTAAGTTAACTATTTAGTTAATTATCTTGTTTATTATTTATTTATTTAATTCTTTTTAAGTCCTTTTTTAATTTCGTTCTGGGGGGCTGGGCCCCATGTGTCATTGGCCCTATGGGCCTTAACGGGCGTACGGGCATGCGGGTGCGGGCGTGCGCCCGTGGCTTCCAGAGGAGCGGACTCCGGCCAGGGGGGAAGGGCGCGGCCATGGGCGTGGATGGCGGCCACGGCGGGGCACGGCGCAGGCCAGGGATGGGCGCGGCCATGGCGGACGCGTGTAGTGGGCAGCGGGGGCGCGCGGTGGCCGAAGTGGTGGTGCGGAGGCGGGGAGCGAGGCCGGCGACGAGCAGGCCCGCGGGCGACAGAGGAGCGGCAGCAGGGGGTGGACGCGGTCAGGGCAGCGATGCGCGCCGCGGGCGGGCGTGGAGGCCAGGGAGTGTGGGGAGGCGCGCGCTGAAGCCATCAGCGGGCATGGCCAGGGAGCCAAGCAGCGCGCGGCGACAGCACGGTGGAGCGGGGTGAAGAGCGTGGGCACACGCAGCGCGTGCGGTGGGGCGTGGGCACGCGCCGGCGAGCCGGGGCATGGCCAAGCGCGGAGGCGCGCGTGCGCAGCAACGGCGAAGGCGTCCGGCGCCAAGAGCAGGTGCACGCGGGTAGCGGAATCGGGCGCGCGCGCGGCGAACGATGCCGAGCAAGGAGGAAACGAGGAAAGGAGGAGGAGGGCGGAGGCCGTGGCCTCACCGGGGTTTGTAGGGACGGGGCGGCGGAGTCGAGGAGGAAGTCGAAGACGACGGCGACAGGGAGGCAGTCCGGCGGGGAGGTTCGTCGAGGAGGAGGGCGGCGAGGCGTTCCAGCCGACAGGATCCGGGGGCGACGAGGTCGGCGTGATGAGAGGCGTCGTCGAGCGAGGAGGTGAGGTGAGGGGCGTCGCAACGAGGGGGGTTCCGGGGAGGAGGGCGAGGCATCCGGCGAGGGGCGGCACCGGGGTGGGCGCCAGCGTCCAGGCGTTGGGCGGCGCGGTCGCCGGGGTTCCCTGCCCCTCGATCTG